GGTACGTACGGTACGTACGTACGGAGTACCGGTAGACCGTCGTAACGACGTAGTACCGGTACGACGGTGNGNNGNGNGNGNGNGNGNGNGNGNGNGNGNNGGGGGGATGGGGGGATGAGGTTTGGGGATTGCCTGCGGTTGTGATTCGTATTTTACAGCGGACGGAATGGAATGACGGGCGGACGACGACGGCGGCGGTGGTGGTCGAGTGTGGACGGAAGAGGGGTCGAGCGGCGCAGAAACGACGCCGCGACGGCTGCGTCCTCGACCGGGGAGCCGGGGACGGCGAGAAAAGTGTCGGGGGAGCGGAAGAAAGACACAAAGAGACCGAGGGTAAAAGAGAGCGAGGCGGATGGGAGAAAACGGGGCGAGATGCCCATCCCCACGCAGGCCGCCGCTGGGCCGAGAGAAGGAGAAGGCGCGGAGACCACTAGGCGGGGCCGAGTTCGAGGACGGAGAGATGATGCGATACACGGAAACGACAGGGGTTGATACGGGAGGCGGGCGGTGGGGGATCAAGTCTGCCTGCTGGCGAGAACGACGGGTCGACGGGGACCCAAGAAGAGCCGAGCGTGACCGGCGTCAAGAGGCAAGGATCAGCGACGGCGGGATCGCGGATCGACTCGAGAAACACGAGTGGCCCCCGGCACTGGCGGCGGAGCGGAGCGGTTGACCAAGCACCGGCCTCTACGACAGCTGGGCGCTGACGACCCTGGCGCCGAAGCTGAGTCCGTTGCCGCCAAAGCTGGCGGCGCGTGGGCTGGCGCACAGCTTCGACATGGCGTCCTTGCGCGTGCGGCTGTTCTGTCGCGCTTGGAAGTTGACCTCCTTGAACTCCATGGGCTGCCCCTTGGGCTGGCGCCGCGGCTGGATCGGCGGCAGAGTCAGGCCCGACTGCATACCGCCGCCACTGCTGTTGACCTGCCTCTGCTCGGCCGACTTGGCCTCGGCGGTAAAGGCGCGGTGGCGCGGGGCGGCCGACAGGCTGATGGCGCGCGGCGTGGCCTTGGGCGCGTAGACGCTCGGCGCGCTTGCCATGGTCGGGGTCGAGGGCGCAGCTGCAGCCCCGGCCGAGGGGGCGCCCTTGCCCACGCCGCCGTACTTGGCCGTGGACGAGGGGGCATCGCCGCGGGCGGGGGCGCTGCCGCCACCGAGCAGCATCTTGCCCAGGTCGGTTGCGAGGTCGAGATCCTCCTCGCTCGTCTCGGGCGTCTGGTCGCCCTCGACCGCCTCATCCTCAAACGAGGGCGCCGCCGAGCGCGAGCCCTCCGACGCGCTGTCGTCGATGACAATCGTGGGCGTCATGGTGCGCGACCTCCACGAGGCGACGCTCTCGGCCGTGCCCGAGGTGGTCCTCTCGCGTCCCTGGCCCACCTGTGGCGAGCTGATGCGCGCCAGAGGCGGGCTGGCGCGTCGGTCGGCGCTCGACGCGCCACCGCTCGCGCGCCAGCTGCGCTGCTCTAGGGGCACGCGAGCGGAGCCGTCGCTCTGGTTGCGTCCATGGCCGCCATTGGCCGCCGATTGCTGCTGCTGCTGCTGCTTGAGCGCCAGCACCTGCGCGTGCTGCTGGGTGAGAGCGGCAAAGTGGTCGTCCAGAGTCTGCTGCTGCTCCTGCTGCTGCTCGTGAGAAGCAGAAGCGAGGTCGCCGGCCTGCTGCAGGTAGGCGTGCTGAGCCTGCCTCTGCCTCAGGCTCGCCTGAAGGCTGGCCTGAGCCGCCTGCCTCTGCTCCTGGGCCGAGGCCACCGGGGGACCGGCGCCGCTTCGGTACTGCTGCTGCTGCTGCTGCTGCTGCTGCTGCTGCTGCTGCTGCTGCTGCGAGTAGAGCTGCTGGTGGGCTTGGAGCTGCGGACTGCCGTGGTGGGATGACGTCTGGAGGGCCGACATCTGAGCCTGACGCTCGTACTCGGCGTGGATCTGGGCGAGCAGGAAGCGCTGGTGCGCCACCGCCTGCTGCTGCTGCTGTTGCTGCTGCTGCTGAAGCTGCTGCTGCTGCTGCTGGAGGCGCATCAGCTCGAGCTGCTGTCGCGCTGCCAGCTGCTGCTGCAGGATCTGCTGCTGGAGCTGGTCTTGGTGCGCGTAGTAGGCGTTGACGCCGTCGTGTCCGCCGTAGGACGCGGCGCCCTGACCGCCGAGGGCGGCTCGCAGCCGCATCGCGGTCAGCTGCTCCTCGATGCTGGCCTGCATCATCGAGGTATCGCGCGGCGTTGAGCGACCGTTGCTGTGACTCTGGCTTGCGTAGCTGGCCGCCTGCGGCTGCGCCGGCAGCGGGCTCTGCTGCCGCGACGGCACCGAGCTGGGGGTGAAGACGGCCGCGTTGGCCTTCATCTGGGCGCCGTCACCCTGCGTCAGGATGCGCATCAGGTCGACCTGTTGATGGTAGCCTCCAGAGGGTTCGGGCCCGCCCGTTCGCAGTCCCGAGAGGAGGTTGGCGCGGTTGCCTGGCTGCGAAGCCTGCATCGACTGGGCGTCTTGGCCGTAGTAGTGGGCGGCGAAGTGCTGCTGCTGGTGGTGCTGCTGCTGCTGGTGGTGGTGGTGCTGGTGCTGCGGGTGCGATGACGCCATCTTGAGTGATGCGGATCGGCGGAGGAGAGAGTAATGAAGCGGGGCTAAGGACGGATGCTGTAAGGGTTGTGGCAAAGCAGGCTAGCTGCTGTGAGTACCTCGCCCGTGCGCGTCTTGTCGAGGGATTGGTGTAGGCGGCTCGCACCGAGGTGACTGGCAAGCCGTGACGAGAGCGAGAGGGAGGGGCTCGAGCGCCAGACGCGAAGCCGCACTGAAGCGTAAAGCGGAGAGAGAACGAGGTTCGGTGGTGAGACGGCCGGCAGCGCTTGTGCCAGTCAGCGGCGGACGGCGAGGCGGAGATGCGGTATACCGGGGATAGGACGAAGAGGTGCCGAATGGAAGACCTGGGGAGAAGTGGACGTCCGCTGCAGGTGGTGCGAGATCCCCTGGAGAGGAAGAGGGATGGAGTAGAGAGCCCAAAGGGTAGTCGGTCGACGGCCACTCGGAGGGTTGGGCTGGTCGGTCGAGGTGTGGGTGCAGAACGACGATCGCCGAGAAGTCAGCCAGCCTGAATCCAGAGCAGAGCGGCGAGGAAAGCGCTGCGGAGGCGTGCGCGGGCGAGGCTCACCTGCTAGAGCCTGGCTTGTGACGGGCCGAGGGAAACGGACTTGGACGGACTGAGACGGAGGAGCCTGCTAGAGGCTCGTCGTTGTGTAAGGCGATCCGGCGCGGTCTAGAGCGTGCTGCTCTGTGAAGGTGCTCCTGGCTGCGAGTTGAAAGGTGTAAAGTCGAAGAAGGACGCTGAGAGGACGATTGGTCGGGCGTTGGGGGTTAGACGGGAGAGAGGTCGATCTGTTGCGAGCGATTCGAGTCGACCAAGGGCGGCGATGTTGTGGTGCTGGTTCTGCCTTTTTTTATCTTTGCTTTCTTTCTTTTCTTGTTTGATCAGGCCCGGCGTCGAAGGCCGAGCAGGAGGATGCGAGGCGAAGCGAGGCGCACCGAGGCCGCCAGAGAAGGAGGCAGCGATGGGCTACGGGAGAGCGAAATGTGAAGATGCGAGCGAGTGGCGACCTTGCTGCCGGTCGCTCGATGGACGAGCAGAGCGATTCCCTTGGCGAGCTTGTCGGCAGGCACTGCTGAGCGCCTGAAAGATGAAGAGGACGGGGTCGAAAGCGTCGTAACCGTCGAGACGGAGAGGATGAGGATGGAGGTGGTGGTGGAAAGGAGCGCAGGTGTCGCGAAGAGGGCAGCTACTGAAGTGAAAGATCAAAGTGGGTCGGATAAACGAGAATTACGGGCGGCGACAGCAACAACGACGGCGACGACGGCGGCGGCGACGGAGGAGGAGGGGGATGCGAACCAGAGACGAGGGAGGGATGGAGGGGGGGGGGAAGACAAGATGGGTTTGGAGGTGAGGGGTGATGGCGGCGACGGTGGCGGCCAGGCAGGCAGGCAGGCAGGCAAGCGGGCAGGAGGTGGGCGGCGCCTGCGCCTCCCCTGCCAGCCAGACAGCCTGACCTGGCAGGCCCCACCGTGCTTGAATTTTTGCCTCGCCTGGCCCGCCGCTGCTTGGTTGCCTGCCAGGCGGCCTGCTTGCGCTGGCGTGTTTGCGCTGCGCAGCCCATGCAGGCCAGGCCTGGCCAGAGCGGGCGGGCGGGACCCAAAGGCCTCGCCCCGCCTGGCCTCGCATCTGCTGCCTGGATGCCTGCCTGCCCTCCTGCCGGCAAGAGGGGAAAAAAAGAAAGACGGTGGGGCCCTGCGCCGTGCCTGCCTCGACTGCGCCTGGCCGCGTGTCCGCACTCTGAGTCCACGTCTCGGGCGAGAGGAAACCTCGGCCCTCGGCCCAGACCCCAGCCGACCCTCCCGGCTCCGGCCGTCTCGCTCGTCCGCTCGTACGACGCGACACCATGCCCCCGCCTGCCATCTCACCTTACCTCGCCCGCTGCGGATCGCCGTCCCTCTGTCCTCGCTAGGGCTCACTCGGACGGTGTGCGACGCCCTTTGCGCACACATAGCATGGCATCGCTGCCTCGCTGCCTCGCCGCCGCTCCTCAAGGCATCGACAGCTTCTCGGCGCCTCGGCGCCTCGCACTGCGGCCACTCTGGCCGCTGGACGCGCACGCCGGGAACGCACCCGCCCTTGGCGCCGATGCTCAAGTCGGCAGCTCAAGCAAACGGCGTCGACGGGCCGCCGCTGGCGAGACCTCGGCCTCTGCTACGACGATTGACTCCTCCAACATGGCCCTGGAAGCGGCGCTCGCCCGCAGCGCGGACCAGACTAGGCGCGGACGGCGAGCCGGCTTGCAAGGCTAGCAACGACGTCGGCATTGGCTACGGCCCTCCTCAAGCCTACACTCCTGCTCAGCCATGTCGCCTGCGCAGAGGCCCGCAGCCTTGCGCTCGTGCCTGCCCCTCGGCAACTCCTAAGAGGGCATAGTAGCAGTGCCGCAGTCGCCGTGACATGGTGCCATCGACCCCTGCTCACGCGACGCCGCTGAGCCTAGCGACACGCAGCCTATCCTGCTTCCAAGGACAAGGCCCGTGACAGGCTGCGACTGAGTGCCTGCCCACCGCTGCTCACCAAGTGGAAAGGCAGGCTCCTGACGAGCAATGCCGATGCAAGACGGGCCTGCCCAGGGAGTCCTATGACCCACAGATGCCCTTCATGTCAAGTCAAGCAGACCCCCCAGGCATGCCATGTACCTGGCCTGAGCAAGCTGTATGTCTTGCAGGCACCTTTCCTGGTGCAGATTGGTAGATTTCTACCTTTTTGTCCTAACATGTCCCTGGCAGCTTCTTGGCACCTTGCAGAGCAGGTGTGGATGTTAACGCCAGCTTACTTTAGCTTACTTTAGATCCTGAGCCTGTTGCAAGTTCCAATATACAGTTGTCCTACACTGGCTTTGTGGAGAAGCAGCTTGCTATCCAGAGAAAGAGCAAATTTCCATGCGTTTTCAACACTTTGCCCAACAGATCTCCACATCTGCTGGGTGAAAGAGCCTGCAACCTTGCAGATCTGCTAGCCCTGATCCTCAGGCTTGCAATGATGCTTGGAGCAGCCTGATTGGACCCCTGGAAGGCAGTTTGCGTGGGCAGAATGTCAATTTCCGACGATTTTCGAGCATTTTCAACACTTTGCCCAACAGATCTCCACATCTGCTGGGTGAAAGACCCTGCAGCCTTGCAGATCTGCTAGCCCTGATCCTCAGGCTTGCAAAGATGCTTGGAGCAGCCTGATTGGACACCTGGAAGGCAGTTTGCGTGGGCAGAATGACGATTTCCGACGATTTTCGAGCGTTGATAACTGACCAAAGGGACAGGAGATGCTCGAATCGGATGGTGGTGTGCTGGCAGACCCGGTGGCGCGCGCGCGCTAGCTAAAATACAGGAATCTCGGAAATCGGAAAAAAGGAAGACGCACCTCGGAGCCGTTGGCAGAGCCCCCAACCCGAAAAGGCCCCGTCCCGGAGCCGAAGCTCTCGGGCGGGAAGTGCTAGCTATGGGAAGACTGAGACGGAATGGAACTCGGAACGGGAATCGGAACGGAAGAACGGAATGTGGAGAAGCGGTCACAGCTCGGGAGTCTTGTCATCGGTCTCGTCGACGATGGCGTTGAGGGCGTCGAGATCTGCGTCGTCCTCGGGAAGTGCTGGCCAGAAGCGCTTGAGACGACGACGATGAGCGCGTTCGATGTGGGACGCATCGGCGAGGAGCCGGATGCGGTACGACCGGCGGAACTTAGCCTCGACGACATATGGGCCCGTCCAGCGCGGTGCAAGCTTGGCTGCGGTGGCGTAGGTGGAACGGAGTCTGCTCTTGTACTTGAGGACGAGATCGCCTTCTTTGAACTCCTCGGGGTCACGTCGCGGCGCTGACGTGCATAGCTGGCGGTCTTGGCTGCCGAGGTGACGGATCTGGGCACGCTCACGATCGGCATCGACAAACGCGCGGGCCAGCTGGCGTTGCTCGACTGTTGGCTCGACGGTCGCGGCGACAAGATCCTTGCGTGGGTAGCGCGTCAGCCCGTAATGTAGCTGTAAGGGCGACAGGTCGGACAGCTCCTTCATCGGGTGTCTGTTGACGGCACGGAGTGCGTCATCGAGGTGCGGCAGCCATTGGGCGGATGCGGTCTCGCCGATAGGGACCTCTGTTGGCGCGGACAGCTTCTTGAGCTCGTTGAGGATGGAACGGTTGGCGCGCTCGACCATACCATTGACCCAGGGTGCGTACGACGGCGTGATGTGGTGTAGCGTGCCGACGTTCTTGAGATAAGTTGCAACCTCTTGGCAATCAAAATGGGATCCTCCGTCAGTCACGAGCGTATGCAGCAGGTGGCCAAGTGCCTTGCAAAGCAACGTGAGCGCCTTGACGACCTCTTGGCCGGTGGCGCTGCGGACTGGGAACGCCCATGTAAAGCGCAAGAAGTAGTCGATGACCACCAGGAGCTTGCTGATACCGTGCGATGATGGCATCGACACGAAGTCAGCGGCCCATGTCTCCATTGGTGAGATGACAACAACCGGGCTGAGAGTGGTGCCCTCGGTTGGCCCAAACTGCTGGCATGTCTGGCAGCGCTTAACGAACTCTGCGACGTCACTGACGAGGCGCGGCCAAGTGAGGCGTTGCTGGAGGCGGAGCTTGGCGAGAATCGTGGCACGGCCGTAGTGACCCTCGCGATCATGGACCTGTTGCAAGATGTAGCGGCCTTCCTTCCGCGAGACGATGCGGAGTGGCCACAGCGCGGAGCGATACCAAAGCTGACCGTCTTTGACAAAATACAGCCGTTGCCTGCGGAGTTGGTCCCGAATTGCGCGGTCCTTGGACATTTCGAGGAGGAGAAGGAAGCGTACCGTGGCCTCGAGCTCGTCGCCTAGTAATAAAGTCCACTCCCACCCACGCGATGGTGGTTTTTGGACGCTGCTCTGGTGCCGCGTGCCCAAAATTGCTTGCATGAATCTGGACGATGGGAATTCCCACCGTCCTCTCGTCCAGTGCGTTTGCAATCCAACTTTTTGTCGTGGCAGGGTGGGAATCTGCAGAGCGTGCAGCACCACCACCTCCACCACGACAATCCAACTTTTTTCAGTACAGCGCCAGCCATGCCATCACTGCACGCCTGCAGAAGACCCTTAATTGCGCAGTGGTTGGTGGTGTTTCGTGGTGGTGGTGGTGGTGGTGGTGGTGGATGGTGGTTGGTGGTGGATGGTGGTTGGTGGTTGGTGTCAGGTTTGACCCACCCACCGTCATTTGCAGGACGTGTTGAACGCGTGTTTGTGCTCTTTGCGCGATATGCCAGGAACGCTCGATCACCCCAGGTCCGTCGAATATCGTCGCATTTTGCATTCCCTTTTCTGTGGCAGTCGTAACATCACCAGTAACCGTAGTTTGCTGCAACTACCGTCTTGCTATAGTCAGGCACCCATTATCAGGGTGGGCTTTGTCCGCACCATGAAGCACCCATATGCCTCAGCAGCTGTGTTCGCTTTGTCGCGGGGCGCCCAACAAACACGCCTTTGACGCCTGCTCTCAGCGTGAGCAGGCCGCCTTGTTGCGCAGTGCCCGACAAACGGTCGCTGGGGGCTCACCTTGTCGCGCGGCACCCGTCAAA